GATCCTGGTGTGTGTGCTAGGGAGCACAGGTGTGGGATTGGGGTCCAGTTGGAAGGCGTTAGAAAGGGTCCCTCTTCAAGCAGAGCTGCTCCACCTTTATCTGTTTATACCGTTCACGGTTACTTCTGAGGTTAGCAATAGGAATAAAGGCAGTCCTTAACCCTCATGAGCCATTAAACATTTAAAATACGCAGGCTTTAAAAAATGATGTCTCTTTACTAAGAGATCAGTAGACAAGAAAGAATTAGTGGCAACAACTATTGGTCCCTATTCCCTCACCTGTAATTCCCCATCTTGGATTATGATGGAGGTAATGGATAAATATTTACTTTTATAATACGGCTTGACTACTACTGACAGGCTTGAACAGCTTATTCAAGGGAAAGCCAAATACAGGAAACCAAATTTGTTTCAAGTGTCATCCAAATTGGTGCAGTAATGCCATCAGTGACCAGGCTCACTCCTCTTTCAGTATTTCCTCTTTGCTTCTGTTGTCTCTGCTTCTTACTGGTTCATCTTACCCAGAGCTGCCGTATCAGCATTGGGGGCTGACTCCCAATTGGCTTTTTCACTTCTCATGCTAGCACATTGGAAATGAAATCCATTTCTCTTACTTTGATTAATAAAGCAAGGTTTTCTAACACGAAAATGAAAGAATGTCTCAAATTACTATCTAAAATGTTATTAGTATCATAATTAAAGAAAAGCTATTGGAAGAGTAAAGGGAATTTAGAAATTTTACTTTAAAAAAAATCTTTTAGGGATTTGTGAACAAATTCTGTGTTCATATTAACTCATACTGTAAATCTGGGTAGGTGTTTCCATAGGTCGTATGGTATAGTATTATAGAATGGGCTTTGGTGTTCTCAAAGGCACTCCTACATCCAGTCCAAACTTTTTATATGGCTTTAGGAACATTGCTTACTTTCCCTGAACTTTCTGATGTTGTTGAAAAGATTAAATGAAATATAGTAAGGAAACAATCTGGCATAGTGCTTGGTACATAGTATGTAGCGCTCAATAATATTTGCCTTCTTCCCCCCTCCCCCTACCCCCCCAAATTAGATTGTTCTCATTTTCTAGAGACAAATGGGTTCAAGTGAGGGTCATTACCGATACCAGGACAGCAATGCCTGCTTTGCTTGGTCCTCAGCCTCTCTTGGAACTGGGCCAGTGTTACATGTCTGCAGGATGTTTTCTGCAACAGATTAGAATGAAATCCTGTCTGTCCTCACAGAAAAGAACCAGCGTTCTTAATGAGTAGTAACTCAAAGACATTAATGCATGTAATAGTAATATTTTTCCAGCGAGGCAGCCTTCAACAGATTGAGGTCGGAATAGTAGAGTCCTACAACCAACCCCACTTCTACCCATGTCCCAGAGTTGGGAGGTGGAAGTGTACTTGGAAGTTCTCCTGTTCTGGTGGAAGCAGGGAGAGGTCTGCCACTCCCTGTACTGGAAACTGAACCGCAGCGGCATTTCTGTCAGGAAACCTCGCGCATTTCCGCTTTCTGCACATGGATGTCCTGCGGGGGTGGCTCGGGCTCTGAAGCGTGAAATCGGACGGTCCCGTCTCCCTTAGGAGGTTTCTGGAGATTGCGCTGAGCCTTCAGTATCATCTTTTGAAATATAAATCAGATCATATTTCTCTTCTGATAAAATCCTCAGTGCCTGCTCATTGCAATTAGAATTAAATCCAAATCTTTCCCATAACCCACAGGACCCTGCATGATCTGTTCCCTGGGCTTTCCCCAGACTATGGCAACTAAAGCAGCTACAGCCGAACTTTACGGTTACTCTCCTTTATATTATCCTGTTGTATTGTCTTTAAGATACTTTTCACTATTAAAATTATCTTCTTTATGTATTTGTTTACATATTTATTGCCCATGTCCTACTTCTAGAATGCAAGCTCCTTGTATCCTCAGGGTCTAGAATAGAACCTATCATTCAATAAATATTGAATGTGAACAGATGAATGAACGAATGACTGGAGTGCATATGTTACTTTAACCCACACACATAGGGATGTGGGACTTTTGGAAGCACAGAGATTTTAGTAGAATAGGAGTATGTTTGCTCTCTGATCTTAGAGTTCTGTCCTCATACATTTTTCTTTGTTCTGATTCTGAGTATTTATATGTAATGTTTTCATTTCCTATAAGCTTCTATTCTGATTATGTTTAAATGGAAGTAGTGCTTAACTCTTTCCATTTAAACTGAGTGCTCCTGGAGTAATTTCTTACTCTTTTAGGTCAGTTGATCATATCTTTCAGAGACTTTTAGTAAAAATACAAATGACTTACCACACAATACTGAGAAAGTATTAGTAAAACACCTGTCAAGACAGCAGGAAAAATGGTTTCTTGCTGTTTTTATAGCTATCATATATATTGATACAATGACTCATATGTCTAGATTTTCTATTTATGTTAATAAAACTACTTTTGTTTTTATTTAATCATTATTTTTTGCTTAAATATGTCAAGTTTTAAACCATTCTTTCAACATAAATGCTAATTCTCATTAACATTGACAAGAATGGCTCTTGATATTTGAGGAAAAGTGTATGGAATAGTATACATTCTAGTAATTATGCTAGTATTTAGAATAATAGGCTGTGGGTAATATGTCAAAATTATGCTAGTATTTAGAATAATAGGCTATGGATAATATGTCATAATATTTGCCTTCCTTTGTTCCTATGAGAACATTTAGGGATTGACTTTTTTTCTGAGTATTAAAGATTGGAATTTTGAATCAATAGAAACCAGCACTTAGCCATAATAAGGACAAATTTATATTTATAAAATTAATTTTAAATTATTTACATATATTATAACTCAGTGTGTTCTTCTGAAGGTTTTGAAAGATGCTATAAGTGCCCTTATAAGCCATTTATTTAAACGTTTCATCAAACATTTATTAAGCATGTATTATTTAAGGCCATAGACAAACTCATTTCTAAGTACTACCCTGTGGGACTCCATTTCTTGTTTTCTTGCCTTCCTCCTTTTATTCATTCCTTTAGCAGATATTTAGGTCCTATGCTTAACAAACTATGGGTGTCTTATCAGCACTGTCCCCACCCTGATTCCACTGCATAGCCCCAGTGCTATGTGGGAAATGGGAAATCTTCTCATCCTGGGATAGTGAATCAGTGCTAACTTTCTGCTACTAGAGATGCAAGGATAACTAAAATTCAAACCCTCCCCTCACATAACTCAGTCTAGATAAAGATATTACAAGTCACTTTGATAAAAGAGCCCAGCCTTAGGAGTCTTGTCTGTCTGGATTTAAATTCCAATCCATCACTATCCATTTGACCTGGGGCATGTTACTTAATTTCATTTTTTCATTATAAAATGAGACTAATAATGGTGCCTACTATTGAGTTGCGATGATTAAATGTGCTAATGGCATTCAAAATATAAATTCAGTGACTGGCTTGTAGTAAGTGCTCAGTATAGATGTTAGTTATTATTGTGTTTAGCAGTCAGTGATTTTTTTTTTTGCCTTAGGGCATTAAGGAAACAATCATATGTCTTGTGTCTGAAAGATGAAGTAAATAGAGAGGATTTTTTAAAAGTATATTTTTGTTTCTTTCAGAAAGGAAGGGAGAAGGAGAGAGTGAGATAGATATATTAATGATAAGAGAGAATCACTGATCGGCTGCCTCTTGCATATCCCTTACTGGAGATTGAGCTGGCAACCCAGGCATGTGCCCTGACCAGGAATCGAACCATAATCTTAGGGTTCATAGGTTGATGCCCAACCACTGCACCATACCAGCCAGATGACAGGAGAGCATTTTAAGCCAAGTGAGCAGTATGTGCTAAGGCATGGATGTATAAGGAATTACAAGTAGTTCTGGTATAGGAAATAAGTACTAGTTCACTTTTCTTGGAACAGCTGCTAGAGAGGGAGAACCAGAGGTCAGATGATAAATAATACTGTACACTATGCTAAGGTATTTGGACTTTTTTTTCCTGTGGACTATGGATAATTGTTGAAATGGAAGGACTATATCAGATTTATATTTTAGCAAAGTCACTCTAATGGCAGTGTGGGAAATAGAAAGCAAGGAGATTATTTTAGGCAAAAAACCCATATGAGAGTGTGATCAGAGAATGCCTTTTTCTGTTGCTAGTGAGAGTGGGGTTCTTGGGGTGCTGCTGGAATATGCATTTCCGGAGACCCCTTTGGGAGGATGAGATGTGGTAGGAAGCTTTATTTTTGTGGAATTATATCCCTCAGTTTCTATAGTCCCATTTCCCTTAAACCAGTCCAAGAAAATATGCAACTTGGGGATTCAGCAGTGCTAGAAGCAAAGCCAGAGTCTAGTTTCCATTCCATGTTGGAATTGGATCCAGCACAGCATCATGCTAGTTCCAGTCCGTCCGTCTATTGTGTGGGCAAATGCAGGGGAGCGTACCCCTTGCAACAAGAGAGCCAGAAGCGCAGCACACAAGAGCGAGCAAGAGGCAAGAGAGGGAACTCCTTTGTTTGGGAACTAGGTATCTCAAGTCTTCCTGTGCTTGCAGTGACCACCACACCTACTCTGCCCTGTTCCCTGGTGTGACTGACAAGTACCTTTTCCTGTGTCACCAGACTTTACTGGGCATGCCTATAATATTTGCCTTCCTTTGTTCCTTTCCTGTTAATAACTGTGTTTATTACAACGGTATCAAAAGAATTTTGTCATAGAACTGATGAGAGAAACTGTGAGGCTGAACCACAATAAATAATAAGTAATCAGTGGTGTGATAATATGCTAATAATATTTTAAAACATATAAAAGGCCATAGCTTCAATCATACTTCATATTAAATTAATGGCATACCTGCATGGATGTTATTTGAAGAATATATTCTTTAGATAAAAGTGAGATTAAAACTTTATCTTGGCTAAAAGTTTATGGGAAAATAGAATGTATAATTAGTATCAGTTAAACCTTACTTTCTGGGTTTGTGATTAGTTTTTTATTTTTTTATTTTCAGTGTAAACCATGTAGAAATGAATGTTATGATGTCTTTTATATATGGAGGAACTTTGGACTTTCCAGACAAAGCTAATGTTGGGTATGTATTATTTTTTTGATTATTTTAAATATAAAAGTATTAATATTTTTTAGCTTCTGCTTTGTTGAGCTATGTTTCAGAGTATCAATGAAGTAGAAGCTTCACTTTTATCACCTGTTTTGTCATATCTTGTGTGTATTTGGATTATCTAAAAATAATGTTACTGTTTTTAGAAGAAAAAAATGTTCTATCAATTCACAGTAATAAGATTAAGAAAAGTCTTTATTAGACTTAAAGTATGTTAGAAAAACCTTATATTTGTTTTGGAAAATAAATGAGAGGATTTTATAAAACAAAATTGATTGAACCTTTATTAAATTTTGAACTATTATTTTACTACTTTATTTTTTAACTTTAGCATGTCTCTTAAAACAGAAAAAGAAAAACCTTAGAATTAATTTAAGAATATAGGCATCCTAAAGACCAATAATGATGTGATTCTTTTTTTTTTTATTATTATTATTTTACAGAGAGGAAGGAAGAGGGATAGAGAATTAGAAACATTGATGAGAGAAACATTGATCAGCTGCCTTCTGCACACCCCCTACTGGGGATGTGCCCACAACTAAAGTACATGCCCTTGACCAAAATCGAACCTGGGACCCTTCAGTCCACAGGCCAACGCTCTATCCACTGAGCCAAATTGGTTAAAGCATGATGTGACTCTTAATTGCTCTATAGTGAAATGCCATATAAACTGCTGAAATTCCATTGGAGAGTGAAATGTACCTGGTCATCTGATTTTCTGGATGTGCTCTCCTTTTACTGCTATTCTAACATTAAAGTGAAAGCTGCTCTTTTAATATTAAATATTCATTGGTTCTTTTACTTACAAACTGAATAAATATGATGTAGGGGAAGAAAGCCTCATGAGTCACAGTACTGAAGTTTTTCCCCCTGGAAACCTATATGAATTTTATCTTGCTCTCCAGGCTTGTTGGTTTCCTAAGTACCTAAAGTATGTATGGGTGCTCAGAAATATTTGCCCAATAAAAGAAGTGACTGAAAACCTTTTGAATAATTGCATGATGTCTCTAATCTTAGGGTCATTTGTAAGCATTTCAATCTGATAAGCATCAATTTGTTACCCCAAAACTTTTATTATACAGATCTATTGCAAAGCATTTATAACTTTAACAGCCTTCAAAGCAGTTTCCTGGGCTTTGAGATATATCTGCAAATCTGAGAGGAATTTGAATGAAACATTTTCAAATTTATTTCTTCATATTCTCCACTGTTCAAATCTTGTGACAGTGCTTTCAACTTTTGGCCTTTTTGTAATCCATAAAGATTTTTTTTATTATATAGGGCAGAAGGTTACAATTAAATTAATAATAATAATTTATATTTTTCTTTTTTAAAACACATCGTATATTAGTAGGAAGTTACTATGTATTTGCCTTGGTTTTTAAAATGGAGAATTAACACAATATCTACTTTTATTTTAGTAAAATACTCAATATGGCTGATATGTATGGACTAGAAGGATTAAAAGAAGTAGCAATCTATATTTTAAGAAGAGATTACTGTAATTTCTTTCAGAAGGTAATTATTGAGTTTCAGAAATCTTTACCCAGTACTTATGCCTTAAAGTCACACATTATTACCTACTAATTTTTAACTCTGACAGTAAAGTGTTTACCCATATTTTCCGGCGTATAAGACGACCCCCTAATTTTACAGTTAAAACATAGGTTTAGGCCTATATTCGCTGTATAAGACTACTCCCCCACACACACACTTCAAAGAAAAGACTTACTTTGCCGTCAAGATCTGCAGGTAATTTCTGTGCAATTTTGATCTTTTGCCCCCGATTTTCGGTTGACTTTTTTTCGTTTCAAAAGTCATCATTGATTTTCAATGCCGGAAAATACGGTAAATCTTAAAAATTAAGTTAATTAGTGGGAACTTTAGTTGACAAATAACTGATGTGCTATACTTTAAAACAAAAAACAGACATTAAGATCATTTTAAATTAAATTAAATTGAGTTGGGGTTTGTTGAAAGGATACAGGAGTGTCCTATACAATTCAAGATGGAAAAGTGTACATCTGGGACTCAGGGTTTGGAAATAAGAGAAAGGAAATCAGGAATCCAGGTTACCTTCTACATTTACCAAGGTACATTTATTACAGTGCTGCCAAAATTATACTTTCCTAAAATTATACTCCTTTTTTCTACCACTTCTCTTTATAATATGTGCTTGGATAGAATATATTTCTCTTCTAAAATATTGACTTTTAAGTTTTAGTTTATGTTAACATATATTTATTGTCTAAAAAAAGATTCTATACTGTGTATTGGTACAGATTCCATTTGTACATTGTTTTTAACTTTATTTTTACTTTTTTTTTTTATTGATTTCAGAGAGGAAGGGAAAGGGAGAGAGAGAAATAAACATCAATGATGATTTGAAACATCAGTGAGAGAGAAACATTGATCAGCTGCCTCCTGTACACCCTATACTGGGAACCAAGCCCGCAACCTGAGCATGTGCCCTCACCGGAAATTGAACCATAATCTCCTGGTTTATAGGTCAACACTCAACCATTGAACCACACTGGCCAGGCTGTACATTATTTTTTATTCTTCATTGTTTTAATTTATACTGTGACTATAGTTTATTTTTTATATTCTTACTAGAGGCCCAGTGCACGAAATTCATGCACGAGGGTCTCTCAGCCCAACCTGCACCCTCTACAATCCAGGAGCTCTCAGGGAATGTCCTACTGATGATTTAGGCCCACTCCCCATGATTCTCTGCTCTCTGTGGGCCTGAAGGTTTCACTGCAGCCATGGAGATGAAGCTGCCATACCCAGCCCTCCACTCTCTGCCTGCCTCTGCCATGCGCCATGAGAAGAAAGCCCCATTGCCCTGCAGTGCGCTCTGTCTGCCAGGCCTGGGGGATTCGCTGACACTGACACACTAAGGAAGTCCCTATGCCCTGTTGTCCTGGCTCTGTCTGTGGGGCCTGGGGTGGTTCCCTCCTCCACCTTACTAAGGAAGCCCCCAAGCCCTGCTGTCCGGGCTTTGTCTGTGGGGCCTGGGGGTGTTCCTGCCACCTCTGCGCTAAGGAAGTCCCCAACCCTGCTATTTGGGCTCTGTCTGCCATGTCTGGGGACTTCCCCACGACTGCACTAAGGAAGTTCCCAAGCCCTGCTGTCCTGGCTCTGTTTCCTGGGCCTGGGTCTTCCCTGCTGCCACTGTGCTAAGGATGCCCCCAAGCCCTGCTGTCTGGACTATGTCTGCAGTGTCTGGGGGAGAATCAAGCCTCGCTGCTTGGTCTCCACCAACCCCAGTGGAGCTCACAGGCCCAGACACTGCAGCAGCGGTGGAGCGGGGAGGTGGATCCTGCGGACAGACCAGATGCTCCAGCAGCGACACTGAGCTGACTGGGTGCTGCCATCTTGTGGCTATGGGGGCTGCCATTTTGTCACGGAGTGATGGTTAATTTGCATATTACTCTATTATTATATAGAATTTATGCTTTTCTGTATTTTCTAAATTTTCTTTTTTTTATTTTTTTTATTTTGAAGGAATATTTAATATTAACATTGTGAGTTATTATCTTTTGCATATAAAGTTACACATTTCAAACAAATTGTCATTTATATTTACAGTATACAAATGCAAAGCACTAATTTCCCACTAAATCATCACTTCCTTAAAATGGTACATGTGATGTTATGAAATTAGCTATTAAGTATTCGAAATAGTGGAAGAGGGGTCATTTCTTCAGTCTTTTTTTTTTTTTTAATATATTGATTTTTTTTTTGCCCCCCTCCCTTCCTCCCACATATCCCCTCCCTCCCCAGAGTTTTATGTCCATTGGTTGTACTTATATGCATATATAAAAGTCCTTCGGTTGATCTATTATCTCCCCCAGATCTTCCTCCCCTCCCTGCTGTAAATTGACAGTCTGCTTGTTGATATACTGTCTCTATATCTATCTTTTGGTTCATCAGTTTATAATGTTCTTTATTATCCACAAATGAGTGAGGTCATGTGGTGTTTTTCTTTCATTGACTGGCTTATTTCACTCAGCATGATGTTCTCCAATTCATCCAGGTTGTTGCAAATGATGAGAATTCCTTCTTTTTTATGGCAGCATAGTATTCCGTTGTGTAGATGTACCATCGTTTTTGGATCCAGTCATCTGCTGACGGGCACCTAGGCTGTTTCCAGATTCTAGCTATTGTAGATTGTGCTGCTATGAACATAAGGGTGCATATATCCTTTCTGATTGGTGTTTCTAGTTTCTTGGGATATATTCCTAAGAGTGGGATTACTGGGTCAAATGGGAGTTCCATTTTCAGTTTTTTGAGGAAACTCCACACTGTTCTCCACAGTGGTTGCACCAGTCTGCATTCCCACCAGCAGTGCACGAGGGTTCCTTTTTCTCCACAACCTCGCCAACACTTGTTTGTTGATTTGTTGATGTTGGCCATTCTAACAGGTGTGAGATGGAACCGCATTGTTGTTTTGATTTGCATCTCTCGGATAATTAGTGACTTTGAGCATGTTTTCATGTGCCTTTTGGCCTTCCTTCTGTCTTCTTTTGGAAATATTCTATTTAGGTCCATTGCCCATTTTTTAATTGGATCATTCATCTTCCTTTTATTTAGTTGTATAAGCTGTTTGTAGATGTTGGAGATTAAACCTTTATCAGTGGTAACATTTGCAAATATGTTCTCCCACACAGTGGGCTTTCTTGTTGTTTTGTTGATGGTTTCTTTTGCTGTAAGAAAGCTTTTTATTTTGATGTAGTCCCATTTGTTTATTTTCTCTTCAGCTTCCATTGTCCTAGGGGCAGTATCAGTGAAGAAGTTTTTTTGGCATATGTCTGAGATTTTGCTGCCTGTGGATGCTTCTAGTATTTTTATGGTTTCCCATCTAATGTTTAAGCCCTGTATCCATTTTGAGTTTATTTTTGTGTATGGTGTAAGTTGGTGATCTAGTTTCATTCTTTTGCATGTATCTGTCCACTTTTCCCAACACCATTTATTGAAGAGACTGTCTTGACTCCATTGTATATTCATGCCTCCTTTGTCAAATATTAATTGAGCATAGTGATTTGGGTTGATATCTGGGTTCTCGATTCGATTCCATTGATCTATATGTCTGTTTTTGTGCCAGTACCAGGCTCTTTTGAGAACAGTGGCTTTGTAATACAGTTTGAAGTCTGGTATTGAGATCCCTCCTACTTTACTCTTTTTTCTCAGGATTGCTGTGGCTATTCGGGGTCTTTTATTGTTCCAAATGAACTTTTGGAGAGTTCTTTCTAGGTCAGTGAAATATGCCGTTGGTATTTTAATGGGGAGTGCATTGAATCTATAGATTGCTTTAGGAAGTATGGACATTTTGATGATGTTGATTCTACCGATTGCATTTATTACTTTTATAATCAACAACAACAAAATATCTTAGAAGAATTGTTTATATCAATACTAGAGGCCCAATGCACAAAATTTGTGCACAGGTGGGGTTAGGGTTGTGTTCCTCAGCCTAGTCTGCACCGTCTCCAATCTGAGTCCCCTCAAGGTATGTTTGACTGCCCTCTCTCAAACCAGGATTGCTGTCTCCCAACAACTCACCTGCCTGCTTGCCTGATTGTCCATAACTGCTTATGCCTACCAGCCTCATCACCCCCTAACCTCTCCCCTGCCAGCCTTATTGCTCCCCTGCAGGCCTGATTGCCCCCAACTGCCCTCCCCTGCAGGCCTAGTCACTCCCAACTACCCTCCCCTGTCAGCCTGATTACCCCTGACTGCCCTCCCCTGCAGGCCTGATTGCCCCCAACTGCCCTCCCTTGCAGGCCTGGTCCCTCCCAACTGCCCTCCTCTACTGGCCTGATCACCCACAACTGCCTTCCCCTGCTGGCCATCTTGTGGAGACCATCTTGTGCCCACATGAGGGCGCCCATCTTTGACCACATGGGGGTTGCCATCTTGTGTGTTGGAGTGATGGTCAATTTGCATATTACTCTTTCATTATATAGGATTCCCCAATTATTGGATACTTGAGGCAACAATATACATTGTATGAATTGTAATTTGGTCATTTTAATAATTTCAATAATACTTAAATTTAGATTTTTGTGATGGGTAGGACTTTTCCTAGCTTTCTATATGTTGTAGCTAAGGAAGTACCCCATGTACTAAAACAGAGCCATAAAGAGATGAGTCCTGCACTACCACTCTCAGGATTTACTGAGGAACAGTTAAATTCAGCTACCTTTACTCAACTCTTTATTCCAGCCTCTATAAGTAAAGGGGCTAGCATGATGGCAGTCTGTGGTGACTTCAGCTTTATAGAAAGTGAAGAATTTTGGTGAAATATTTTCCTTCTCTTTCATCTGCTTCCCCCATCTTCCCAGCCAAATGAAAGTTAGGAGGGAGATCCAAGCATATCCCAAATAAAGACTACAGATGTCTTCTCACCCCCCAGAGGGACGGCTACCATAACTATAAACCCAGCCCACTCAGGAGCTTCCATTAAAGTAAAAAAGAAAGTGGTAAGAGGTTTTTGGGGAGAGCCTGGAATATGCCCCAGAAATCAACAAGAGTATATTTGAATGTGGAGATTTTTAAAAGGAGGAGGAGGCTTGCTGGAGAAGCCAGTACTAACCTGGTGATTAGGGACAATAGTTATTATCATAAATAAAAAAAAGTATGGGGAGTTTACTCGACACCTGATATCCTACTGGAGAGTGAATTATACTTGGTCATCTAATTTCTGGATATGCTCTCCTTTTATTGCTATTCTAACAGCAACGTAAAAGCTGCTCTTTTAATATTAAATATTCTTTTTTTTTTCATTACAAACAGAATAAATATGATTTTGGGGAAGAAAGCCTCATGAGTCACAAAGATTCAGTACTGAAGTTTTGAATGAGAAGGATCTTAGTGGTTAATGAAGATTAGAGGATGGGCCTGATGACACTGTTTCCCACCTGGGACTCATTGTGCATCATGAACCACTAGAAGAATCTTTATCCACTGATAGACTAGGGTGAAGTTCAGTCTGTCCCTAAAAGAGCCACCAAATCAGACTAGGCCACCAACATACCAACATCTGAATTAGATAAAAATCAAGGACATCTCCCTACTACCATGTTGGTCTCTGGTAGTTACTTAAGGTGACCATAGCCACCCATAGCCCTCTTTCACAGGAGTTAGACCTAGAATATGGAGGTGCAGGGCAACTGCCCTATTCCATACGTTCTATTATCAATATAGTCAATGATTTAAGTCAGATACGAGATAGATGCTTAACAGTAGTATACTGAATTTCAATATCAAAAGTAACCACAAACTACTGAAATTTGCCTATAAGGCATTAAGGGATAGATAAAGGGAGATTTAAACAGCATGGTTGACAGGGCTAGGTGGGAAAAAGAAGTTTTATGTTAGTATTTTCTCTGAACTGAGAATCCTTATAGACCAGTTACATCTAACATTTAAAAAATAATCTCGTTTATGGATGGTCTTATGGGTTGTATGCATCTTCTTATATTTTACTTCCAATAATGCCCTCAATTTTAAAACACAAAAGGCATAATATTTGATGCCATTAAAGTAACAGAAAAGGAAATTTAAAAAATTAACATATTATTTTGTTGAAAACTTTTTTTACTTATTTTCATATAGTTTGTATTGTTGTGGTAACATATTTCTCTTTTTATTGACCTGATCTTTAAATTATTTGCTTTATATATTTTGATAATATATATTTGTGACACATCTTTAAATATGTAATTTTAACATCTAGATCTCAGTTATGCAGTTTCTTGGCAGTGACTTAAATATAGTAAGCCTTTAATAACACTCTCCATAGTAATGCAAATTTGGGTGTAATATAGTGGATAACTGACCTGGAACTCCTGGCAAGCTGGCTTTGGTTATTTCATTAACTTTATAGTCTTGCCTTTTACATGATTTTGGGACTCTACTTATAGGGTTATAGTAGGATTTATATATTTTTTGCCACTGATTTAAAATTTTTTAAGTAATAATTTAAATATATGTCTTTCCACATTCTACAAGTAGGGTTTGAAAATAACTAAATGTGAGTCATCCCATTTATACAAAACACTTGGAATCAGCATTTCCATGTAAGTAAAATTCTCAGAATGCTAAAGTTAACACTTTAAGCCAGGGGTCAGTAAACTTTTTCTGTAAAGGCCAGATAGTAAATATTCTAGGCTTTGTAGGCCATGTGGTCGCTATCATAGTTACTCAGCTCTGCTGAGTTAATATGGAAAGCAGAATAGTTATACTAAATTTATTAAACACTAATATAACACTTTAAGAAAATGGGTATTTAACAATCAAATTAATAGCAATTCATAATTTAAGAGGCTGGAAATCACTGACCTTATTAGGACTATGATGGAGACATTTCTGAAGAAACTTTTATTCTGAAAGTAGGGTATCTCAAGAAGTATGTATTTAGAGATTATATATACAAATTGGCTAATTGCTGGTCTTTATTGTCCAAACCCTAAATCACAATTAATTACTTTGTACAAAGAAAAGTTGAACTTTGTTTACCCTAATGGGCAATAAATGTGCTTAGGAACTAGTCCAAACAAATTGAAAATATGTGACAGAGGGCAGCATGTAGCACAGAGGCTTAATGTTAAGAGCAATGAGTTGTTTTTATTTGTATCTACATTTTATTTATTAGCTCCTTCTTAAATGTGCTTGTAAAATATATCTAATATAATAAAAGGCTAATATATTATAGAAATTGACTGAACAGTGGAACAACCAGTCGCTATGACATGCACTAACCACCAGGGGACAGATGCTCTCTGCAGGAGCTGCTCCCGATGGTCAGTGTGCTCCCACAGAGGGAGCGCCGCTCAGCCAGAAGCTGGGCCCATGGCTGGTGAGCGCAGCAGTGGTGGTGAGAACCTCTCCCGCCTCCGCGGCAGCACTAAGGATGTCCGACTGATGCAATTATATTCTGTCACTATCTGAGGTCAGCGCAGGACCTTCCATTGCACACGTACTTAAAAGTTATATTTGTATTTTAGGAAGCAGATTAGATAAAATAATCATATTGCAATGTAATGTGCTAGAAATTATGCCACTTTTGCTTTAAAATTTTAAGCTAAATGAAATTAGAATAGAAATTGTGTGCGTTCTGACAGTTAAAAGAACTCAAATGCTGTTCTATAAAACTAGAAGTTATTAGTAATACTTTCTTTTAAAAGAATAACAGATTTTTAAATTACAGATATTTTATTCTGCAACTTGGGTACATATATCAGATCATCTGTATGAATCAAATACTTTTAGCTTCTGTAAGTTGTTAAAGGACAAAATAGTGCTTTCTATCAATTTCAGCCCGTCCTCAGAAGCTTGGCGTCTGTACTAGAATGCCTGATTATCGCTCATTCAGTTGGAGTGGAAAGTCTTTTTGCTGACTGCATGAAGTAAGTGATCTGAAGGAGTGCTGTTACTATTAATTAAGATTATCTGTTCTTTCATTCTCCTAATTTTCTGGGAAAATTTTACACTTGGCTGGTTTTCTTGGGTGCAATATATGTAACTTAATGCTTACCTAATTGTAATAATTAAAAAGACATATTGATTTAGGTATTGCTCAAGGTGCTTGGGATCAATTTTATTTTAGCCCAACCATTATTACTTATGTTAAACCAAAGTGGATTTAAAATATATATTTACCGGCACGCCCGCCCGCACGGAGAGTTCGCAGCCGGAGAGGAGGAGAGGGATGGGTGCTGCCTTTCCTTCCCTAGCAGGAAGGAAATAAAACCCCCAGCCTGGGCTGAACCTCCGAACCGGCAGTGCTGAGCCCCCCCGAACCGGCAGCGCTGAGCCCCAATTATGGGCCAGACCCTGGGGACCCAGGCTCCGGCAGGGGGAGTCGGGGCTGTGAGGCAGAAAAGCGGCGAAAAGCAGGGCCCCCAGAGTCCCACGCAGTGCACGCACAGAGGACTGAACGTTGATGCTGGGTTACCCTAACCGGAAGAAACAAGGCCTCTGGCGGCGCTGGGCCTCAGTCCGGACTTATCCGAACCCCAGTTCTGGGCCAATCCCTGGGGACCCAGGCTCAGGCAGAGGGAGACGGGGCTGTGAGGTGGAGTCCGGGGAGAGCGGCGAAAGGCCGGGCCCCCAGGACTCACGCAAACTGCGCGCAGAGGACACTTTGTGGGACTCGCGCAAACTGCGCGCAGAGGACAGTCTGTTGACTCTGATACTGGATTTCTCTAGCGGGAAGGAGAAAAAAAAAAGCTCCGGGCTGGGGGAACGCGGCTGGGAGCTGGAGCCCCTGCCGGAGGCCAGCAAGAAGGCGGGCGACGGGGCCCCTGGGGGGGTGGGTGCCCCTGAGCCTTCGACCGCTGAGCGCGGACAATGGAGCCAAGGCCGGGGGCTGCTTCCTGGGCGGCGCCATCCCAAGAACAGGCTGAAGCAGCGCAGGAGCCCGCGGAGAACAAAGGGGTGCCACAGGCCAACCTGCTGAGCTCCCAGGACAAGGAGGAAGAAACCAAAGAAGATCTCAATATGAAGAAATCAAGTGAGAGCAAAAGATAGTAAAATTACTTAAGAAAGAATACAAAGAAGTTCTTGAAAAATCAAAGACTAAGTCAGAACTCAACTCACCAGCCAACATTGCAACATAAATGCGTTTTTTTAAAAAAAGAAAAAAAAAGGACAGAATGTTGGAACAGCGGCGGCCAGGCCTAGAGTGGCCAGGCACAAGGCAGTGGCAGCCAGGCCCGGAGCAGCAACGGCCAGGCCCCAGAGCAGCAGCAGCCAGAACCAGAGCATCAACAGCCAGCGCTGGAGCAGCCAGACCTGGGGCAGTGGCAGCCAGGCCTGAGGCGGAGGCGGCCAAGCCCAGGGTGGCCAGTCCAGGAACACCCAGACCCAGAGTGGCCGGGCCCAGAGCAGCCGGGGTGGGAGCAGCCAGACCCAGAATAGCAGTAGCCAAGCCCAGAGCATCCAGGTCGGGAGTGGCCAGGCTCGGATTGGCCGGGCCCAGAGCAGCCGGGTCGGATGCGGCCAGGCCCGGAGCAGCGGCTGCCAGGCTGGGAGCGGCCAGGCCCGGGGGAGCAGCCAGGGCTGGTGCGGCCAGGCCCGGAGCAGCGGCTGCCAGGCTGGGAGCGGCCAGGCCCGGGGGAGCAGCCAGGGCTGGTGCGGCCAGGCCCGGAGCAGCGGCTGCCAGGCTGGGAGCGGCCAGGCCCGGGGGAGCAGCCGGGGCTGGTGCGGCCAGGCCTGGAGCAGCGGCTGCCAGGCTGGGAGCGGCCAGGCCCGGGGGAGCAGCCGGGGCTGGTGCAGCTAGGCCCGGAGCAGCGGCTGCCAGGCTCGGAGCAGCCAGGCCCAGGGAGCAGCCGGGTCGGGTGTGGCCAGGCCCGGAGCAGCGGCTGCCAGGCTGGGAGCAGCCAGGCCCGGAGCAGCAGCAGCCAAGTCCAGAGCAACTAGGTCGGGAGCGGCAGTGACCAGACCCGGAGCAGCTGGTTGTGGAACGAACCAGAGCAACAGAGGCCAGGCCCTGAGCAGCCAGGCCCAGAACAGCTCGCTCCTCGCCTGCCCCTACCCCACGGCTGCCTCTCAGACATGGCTGGAAACTTTTGCGGGAACTTGAGGGTCTGCTGAATCAAGTGATGAAGGCTTAGATCTGGATGTGTTGAGTTAGTATAGGGCTGGGGTGTTGATCTGTGAGTGCCTTGGGTGGGGCCTGGATGAGGCTAGTTGACCTATTGGGAAATGTCTTTTGTGTGAAGTGTATCATTGGGCATGTGGAGGTATTATTGATATGAGAAAATGCTAAGTAACTGATTTACTATCTGAAAAGGGATTTACTATCGGGGAAAGGGAGGGAAGAAGAGACTGAACATAAACTGTGCACCTATGGATGAGGACAATGGGGGATGGGGAGGGGGTGGAGGGTGGGGTGGGAACCTGGTGGAGGGGGGAAGAAATGAGGAACCTTTGTGATAATATGAACAATAAAGATTGATTTTAAAAAATAAAAAAAAATAAAAAATAAAAAAATATATATATTTACCAAAAAGAGCATAGTCAAGTCCACTGTGGAGCTCACAAAATTAACTGTAAATGTTAGTCAAAACATATATATGTAAAAACTGAAAATACAAATAGTTTTTTAATATTATAATGGAAAATTATTCTATTTCTCTAACTTGAGATTCTTTTATTTAGGTGGATTGTAAAGCATTTTGCAAGGTTTTGGTCTGAGAGAAACTTTGCAAATGTACCTCCTGAGATTCAGAAACGTTGTCTTACCATGTTGATTCAGTCTTTAGTAAGTATAACCTGAATACTCTTGTTTGTATTTCACTTCAAGAGCTTTATTCACTTGTATATAGATACTTGCAATATTTTAATTATAAAGGTAAAGCTATATTCCAGATAACCCAGAGCCATTTCTGAAAAACCTATCCTTAAACGTTTCTTCCCATGTGCCAAATTCATTAGGCAAGTTTCAGTCAGAGAAGCAGGAAGATATGTATTGGTTTATGAACAAAAGATAGTTGGTACTAGGGATGGAAGTCATCACTGGCTCAACAGCATGAATTTTTACTCACTAAGATGGGTTTGAATATAACACTGAAATTTCTCTATGGCAACATTCCCCAAGAGAAACAGCTGTCTGCCTACCTGGTGGCAGGTTAATTACATTGGACTACATCATGGAAAAAGCAGTGCTTTGTTCTCAGTGGAACATTTGCTCTGGATATGAATTTGCCTTCATTGCTCCTCGTGTTTCTGACAAAGCCACTATCCATGGACTTAAAATGCCTTTTCCACCATCGTGGTATTTCACACAGCATCACTTCTTACTAAGGAAGTCCACAGCAAATGATATATACACTTGGAATGCTGTACTCCCATGTCCTATGATTAAAATCAATGGAAAACTAACAACCAAATTTAGGCAGCACTGATAATGGCCCAGATTCTTTAGGAATTAAAGGATAATTATAGAATATAGTTATACTCCCGGATAACAAACTACAAATAGCAGAAGTACTTGCTGAGAACAAAGGGAATGTGCAGTGTAGTGGGAAAAGGTAGATATAAATGCCAGCTATGAGCAAATGAACAGTTACAGAAATGAGCACTGTGATAGTTATGATATAAATATGATTCATTTCCCTTTTTATATCTATACTAATAAAATAAAAACATGCAAGTTAACCATCACTCCACTACTCCCACCAGCCAATCAGAAGGGAATAGGCAAATAAGGCCAAAGATGGCGGCCATCCAGCTGCTCCAGGAGCATAGTGGCTGGGTGGGGCAGGATGCCTGCTATGAGAAGGTGGGCAAGGGGTGAAAGGATCTACAGGAGCGGTACTCTGGCCTCAGCGAAGATGAAGACTGTAGACTTCGGAGTCTGTAGCGGAGATGGCAGACTCTGGCCGTAGTCTACAGCATATATGGTAGACTCCAGCCAAAATCTGCAGTGAAGATGGCAGACTCTGGCTGGAGTCTGCAGCAAAGACGAAGGTGGCAGACTCTGGCTGGATTCTGCAGCAAAGGTGGCAGACTCCGGCCGGGGTAAAGGCCTGGGTCCTGGGTGCCACAGGAAAACTGGTGCTGGAAGCCAAGATAGGAAGGCCTATTGCATTAATCTATTTGTGCAATGGGCCTCTAATATATATATATATATATATATATATATATATATATATATATATATATATATATATATATTTACATATATATTAAACCAAGTATTTTTCATAGTCTTATTCTCCTACTATCTAATATAAGACATTGTTAATATTAGCTTTATATCTCCATATTTAAGTTACTGACTCAAAGAGGAGTGTAGTCTGAAGAACAGTGAACATTATTTAAAGGCAATACAAGTGAATTTTTGTTTTCTTTTAAGTAAGGGGTTAGCCTCTTTGTTGTATAGGAGATAGTTCCGTTAGGCAGAAGCGTGATTTTACTATCCCTATTTGGGAATTAAATATGATTTAAAGGGTGCCAGGTTGATATGGTACCTTGTCTAGGAAGCATGAATGAACCATGCTTCCCAGAATTTCCTTCTTTGTATATTTCTAGAGTGGCCACAAGAGAATTTGGCATGAGATTTGTAAGGTAAATGTGAAGCAGGAGTAGCCTTTTGTTAATACCAGGAATATTGGAGCAGGCACTTTTAGCTTGTACATTTTGGTTATTTACTGTCTTGTCTTGTTGGCAAGGAACAGAAGCCAGGCCTGCAATTGCTTCACCTTGCCCTGTATCCTCTTTTGGGTTTTCTTCTCCTGAGATGGATGTGTTTACCTCCTTGATGTAGGATACCAACATCTCCTGAAGGACCCCCATTTCATCCAGGTTGGAGTCAGTGAGAGCTGAAATGAGTCCATCATTGTGGATTACAGCTTCTGCTCTTAGATATCAGCTTGTCCTTGGTCTTCACTTTATGTCCATTTTCCCTTCTTGACTGCCTTCCCTGTGGACTTCAAACTACCACATCATCTACAAAGATGGTTTAACCATCTCCACAATTATATAAGTTCGGACCTTATAACAAATTCCTTTATGTATATGAATGCCACCACCACCGTTATCACTACCAATACCACTACTATTACTATTAGGAGGAGGGGGAGGAACAGGAGGCAGAGAAGGACAAGTGGTAATAGTAATAGTAGTAGTATTTGATAGGTTTTTTTTTTTTTTAAACCTTTACAGTTCAAAAAGTACTTTTATTTTATTGAATTTTTTTATATTTTATTGATTTTTTACAAAGAGGAATAGAAAGGAACATCGATGAGAGAGAAATATGGATCAGCTGCCTCCTGTACATCTCTTACTGGGGATGTGCCCGCAACCAAAGTACATGCCCTTGACTGGAATCGAACCTGGGACCTTTCAATCTGCAGGCCCGGTTAGGGCTATTTTATTGAAATTTTGTGTAAAATAGGTACTATTATCTCCATTTCACATACGAGAAAGGAGAATCAGAGAGGTAAGTGCTTTTATTCAAGTTCACAGTGCCAGTAAATTATAAAGCCAGGTTTTAAAACCAATTGCTTCCATTCTTTATTTTTAGAAAAGTATGGGCCTGCATGTAGATCAGTGGAACAGTATAAAGAGTCTAGAAATAAAGCCATGCCTTTATGATCAATTAATATTTGACAAGAGAAGCAAAAACAATTGGGTAAAGAAAGTCCATTCAATAAACAGTGTTGGGAAAACTGGGCAGATATGTACCAAAAAAATGAAACTAGACCACCTTTTTACACCATACACAAAATTAAATTCAAAAATGGAATAAAGATTTAAATGTAAGACTCAAAATCATAAAAATCCTAGAAGAAAAGATACCCAGTAAAATCTTGGATATGTCTCAAGCTACTGTATTTTTCCATGTACAAGACACCCCCATGTATAAGACACCATCTGCTTTTCCAACCCCAAATTAAGAAATCAATATTTTGAAATTTTGCTGGTTTTCCTCTTAAGACCTTTTTTGGCATCTTAAGGAGTTGTTCTTCCTGTTTTCTCCACTGTCTGATCATACTGTCAGTGGGAGGAGATCACATTGTCTCTCTGCAGCTCTTTTTCCATTCTTTTTTGCATAGCTGATTACATTCACTTTGAATTTTACAAAGTAAGACAACCTCTTACCAGTATTTATCTTTTTAATTTTTGACAAATTTATGGGCTCAGAACATTCCAGTCCCTGCTACGTCTGCGCACTCTCCACCTCCACCTCCACCTCCACCTCCACTAACAATAAGGCTCGTGATTGGAGGAAGCCTGTTTGACAAGGTATGAGCAGCTACACACCTGCACAGCTGACTTCTGTGTATAAGATGCCCCTCAATTTTCAGTCTAACAATTTTAGAAAAAAATAGCATCTTATACGTGAAAAAATACAGCATATTTTTTTCTGATACATTTTTCTAGAGCAAGGGAAACAATAGAAAAAAAATAAACAAATGGGATTATATCAAACTAGAAGGTTTTGTAAGGCAAAGGAAACTATTGGCAAAATGAAAAGATAATCCACTGAATGGGAGAATATATTTGCCAATGATACATTTAATAAGGGGTTAATATCCAAAATATATAAAGAACTTAGATAACTCACTACCAAATAAAATATATATTTAGCTTTTGATTAAAAAAAAGAATATTTTTTATTATTTTCATATTAAAATTTAAATTGTTATCCAAAAATATTAAAGAAAGCAAACAGTCTTCTTACTTTTCAAAATAAACTGTGTGCATGCAACATGCAAGCCTGTTTCTCAGTCTCAGTTATTAGGCCGACCCAGTCTAAGACAAGTAGTATTGGCCCAACAATTCTATTTCTAGGAATTTACCCTATAGATTTATTTATATATGTGTGAAATAATGTCATCTACAACATTATTACAATGATAGCAAAAAAAAGGTTAACAATGTAAATGTCCATAAAAGGACTGATTGAATGACTTATGAAATATCCATATTATGGATTATTACATAATTGTTAAAACAGTAACAAGGTTCTTTACATTCTGATAACAAAAACATTACAGATATATGCTAAGTGTAAAAGAGAAGGTACAGAGTACTAAGCATATTAATGCCTCTGTTTGAGGAAAATAAAGGAAAAATTACATATATTTATGTTTGTATGCACTAGTACATAATCCTGGAAAGATACAGAAAATAATATTGACTGGGATAAGGGAAAATGGGTGACTTGGGGCAGGAAGGAGAGGGTCACTTTTCTTGGTATTACCCTATATTTGTTTGAAGTTTGAAGCATGTGTTCTGTTAACTATTGAATTAAAATTGTATGTGTTTGGTCTAGAAGTATGTTACATTTTCTTTTGAGCCTCAGGCTATTCTGACATTTAATATCATCATGGATTCAGATAAGTGTGGAATAAGCTCACATAACACTTATTTTAATTTTTAAGTAGATTGCAAGTTAAATCGTGATAACTATACTCTATATCTGTATTTTGAAAAAGATATTACTGTCAGAGCAGATAACATATGTATGTAGTAAACATTTTGTAGATACCTGCCAAGTTTATTTGAATACCCTTCACTTGGCACTACTACCAGAAAAAAAAATCTTTATAGTACAACAAATTGGGCTATTGCCTAAAACTCTTAGTAATTGCAGTTACTCAAGGAGTCACCAGATGAGAAAAGGGATGATAATGGTACTAAAATAATTTTAAAAGACTTGAATTACATCAAAGTATGGTTTATTTTTACTCTAATTAATAAAGCAAGGGAAGTATATAATATTTTAAAATAATTCTTGAGCCCTAGCCAGTTTGGCTCAGTGGATAGAGGGTCAGCCTGCAGACCAAAGGGTCCCAGGTTCGATTCCGGTCAAGGGCACATGCCAGGATTTCAGGCTTGATCCCCAGTAGGGGATGTGCAGGGGGCAGCCGATCCATGATTCTCTCTCATTATACATGTTTCAGTCTCTCTCTCCCTCTCCCTTCCTCTCTGAAATCAATAAAAATATATTTTAAAAAATTAATGGAAAGATATCCTCGGGTGAGGATTAACAAAACAAAACAAAAAAAATTAAATGGCCCCCACTATGATGCTATACACCTAAAAAAAATTCTTGATAAATGGGTGAACATTTTAAACCTTGATGTTCAATAATTAAACTTAATTCAGCTTAGGAATTCACTTAGAGATTCTAAGTCCCTGATACTGCTAAGAGATAAACAAATATTTGAGTATCTGCTATGATCCATTTCTTTGTGTGTTTTTTGTTATTGTTGTTTGTTAGTTTTTTGTCTTTGTTTTTTGTATAATCCATTTCTGTACTAGGCTTTGAGGATATAATGGTGAGCCAAGAACAGATATGGTTTACACCCAAGAAACATCCGGCCTAATGGAGAGACGGATATTAATCAAATAGTTAATTATTAAATACTAGAGGCCCAGTGCACAAAATTCATGCGTGCATAGGGGGCATCCCTAAACCTGGCCTGTGCCCTCTCACAGTCTGGAGCCCTCAGGGGATATCCAACTGACAGCTTAGACCCGCTTCATGGACATCCTTAGCAATGCTGAGCTCACCAGCTGTGAGCCCAGCTCAGAGCTTCTGGCTGAGCTGGGAGTGCACTGACCACCAGGGGACATTTTGCATCTTAGCCTTTTATTACTATATAGGATACGATTGGAAATGATTTCAAGAAAAGGGACAGATTCTCTGAGGCAGGTATAAAGGGAATCTGATGTAGGTCAGGAATGTACATCAGGGAAGAAATAGTGCTTGAGTTCAGATCTGAAAGCTACAGAGGGTATGCAAAGTTTATCTCATGCAGCCTGCATTAGGGATTTCAGGCTGTTATTTCCAGATTTAATATCTTTTGCTGTGTAACAAACCACCACAAAACTAAGTAGCTTAAAACCACAGTTCATTATTTCTTATAATTCTGTGGATTGATGAGGTGAATCTTTAGTTGATCTTGCCTGAGCTCCGTCCGGCACTGCTTTCAGCTGATAGCTAAGTTGGAGACTGGGTCTCCTGTTGCATGTGGTCATTCTTACCAGGCTTCTGTATGGCCTCATGGTCCCAGAATTCCATGATGGTAAAAACAACTACAAGGCTTCTTAAGGCCTAGGCTCTGGAACTTGCACAACACCACTATTTATGTAGCAAGTGAAAAGGCAAGTCTAAATACAAGAGATGAGGAAATAGATTTTACCTCTTGATGGAAGGAGCTATAAAAAAATTATGGCTATAATCTGCTACAGTCTATCAGATATTTCAATAATAGTTATTACCAAGCATTGTTTTAAGAACTAGAAATCAGCCTGGTCAGTGTGGCTCAGTGGTTGAGTGTCGACCTATAAATCAAGACATCACCAGTTCAATTTCCAGTCAGGGCACATGCCGAGGTTTGGGACTCAGTCCCCAGTAAGGAGCATGCAGGAGGCAGCTAATCAGTGATGCTTCATTCTCATTGATGTCTATCCCTCTCTCTTCCCCTTTCTCTAAAAGTAAAAATTAAAAAAAAAACACACATTCTTAAAGAACTAGAAACCAAATATAACTAAGATGTAATTTATAAGTTGTTGTTTTTTTCTTTTTCTTGGAGCCCATGTTATTTGTATATTGTCATTCCATTATCTATAGAGATTAGTTTTTGTGAACATTTTTCCTATGGTATAAAAAAATGAATCTTCAGTAAATGAATAAAACATAAAAGAGGGGTCTTGCCTCATTAGAGAAGAGGGGAAAAATCACTGGGGATTATAAATAATTTTAGCCATTCTAAATTTGTAATAAAGAATGTGTATTTTATAGTCATGAAAGAATTAAGGCTATGCTAGTGTAGCTATACAATTATGAATGATACCTATAAATGCAAAAAATTAATTCGATAGTGAAAATCTCAGGAAAAGTAAGTTTTTCTTTATAGTTATAACTTGCTTTCAGGTTTGTTTTAGCTTCTTTAAACGGTGATTTCTTCAAAGTTCAAAGTTTGCCCTTTGGGGTAATTCTGAATGAATGAATAAATAAATATTACATGTAAAACTAATGAGAAAGGTATTAGCTTCCTGAAATTTTGTGGGGTTTTTTTGCAGGAAGCATTATAAGAAAACAAAAGTATTTTATATGCTTAGAAAATGATTTTATGAGCAGTAATCTAACTTTTTCCCAATATTTTTCAAATTATAAAAATGATAAGGCCCTAGCTGGTTTGGCTCAGTGGATAGAGCGTTGGCCTGCAAACTGAAGGGTTCCAGGTTCCGTTCCAGTCACAGGCCCAGGTTGCAGGCTTGATCCCCTGAGGAGGGCATGCAGGAGGCAGCCAATCAGTGATTCTCTCTCATCATTGATGTTTCTATCTCTCTCTCCCTCTCCCTTCCTCTCTGGAATCAAAAAAAAAAAAAAAAAAATTAAAAAAAAAAGAATGATAAGAATGCTGCTTTTCTTCTGATGGAAAGTGACAGGCTAATCATCAGCTTGCCCAGAGTGAAGTGGACCGAAGCAGCACTGACTATGGCATCTCGGCTGCAGGAAGAATGCATTGCATTTATTGTAGAAAACTTCTCCAAGACCATTCAGAGTGAAAATTTTGCTCTTCTCTTACAGGTACTCTGTCTAAAATTATATCCTATGTTTAGTTCCATCTTTGCATTCAGATTATAATTTATGCAGCACTTTAAAATGCAGGTTGTCATTGATTAAATTAGTATGGCTTAAATAAATTCCATAGCAGATGGCAGGTTTGCGTAGGATTTGGAGCAGTGACGGACAGAATTTTTGGCTCACAAGATAATGAAGGCAGGAAGGGACAGGTTTGTGTGCCCTGGCAAAGCCCAATGTAACTCTAGCCAACTCTGACCTTCTATCAGCATAAGCCAAGTTTTAGAAACTAAAGTCATAAATTGTTTTGGCCACTAATACAATTATGGTCCATGCAAAATTCTTTGTTTTCTTGGAGACCCACTTTCTCTAAATGTAGTCATTGAATAAAGAACTTCTTTTGTTTTTGCACTCTATTTTTAAGATGATTTTGGCTTTTAAGATAAGTGTGTGTATGTGTGAAGGTATTTTTAACAACAGAAAGGGATTATTAAATAATAGTTGTTATAATTATAATTATATTATTTTAACAGAGGAAGTAAGATTTCTAATTGATTTCGAACAGCCAGTTTTGATGAATGGCCTGTTGTAATGCCAGACTTTCACATTTCTTACACATTTTACATGTATTTCTATTAAATATCAATTTCTGTGTTTCATAGTCACAAGCAATGAGCAGCACAGCTGATTTGTTGGACAAAATTTTAAAAGCAATCGAAGAAAACATTACCACTGAGAATAGTTGCTCTCTTTTTATGGCTCTGGACAAGTTACTGAACTCCGACAGTATAAAAGAAATGGTATTGAATGTAATAATAATGTTGATTAAAATGGTTTAACATTTAAACTGTTTTAAGATTTAAAAAAAAAATATGCCCATTTTAAATGTTGCTTGGTTGAAAGTAGGTAATGGATACATGTGGATTGGTTGTAGTCTCTACTTTGGTGTATATTTAGTATTATCTTACAATACAAAAATATTTTCATTTTTATTTTTCTCCAAATGGACATATTATAAAAGGTTGGAATTTGGCAATTTTACTGGCTAGTTCTAGATATAGTTTTGTATTTAACAATATTAATTGATATAGCATAGCTCTAGTATTTCTCTCTGGTCACTACTTTAAATTTCTAAATATTAAACAGGATTTAAAATAATTTTTTAGAAATTTCAATCATCAGTATCTTTTATTTTTGTAGTATATTTATAATGCCTTTTTGTCTTAAAATAATCATATTAAAATAGTATTGACTGGGTAAAAGCAAAATTAAAATGTTACTTATTTTTAAATGCAGTTAATTACTAAGCTAATTGCTAATTATTGACTTTTTATATTTAACAAAAGTGATAAAAAAAGATTTTCATCATATTTTCACTACTGCATAGAGTATTTGACCTTGTAATGTCATAGTGGATTTGAAAAGGCTGAGGAAGGTATTCATGTAAAGGCCGTTGGTGGTTTAAAATGTTTAGTTTGAAAGGATAAGGTTTAGCTTCATGTTCACTGTAAAATTCTGTTGTGAAGAGTAAGCCTTCATAAATAACATGTACCCGACGATCTTGAAAATCTAAGTGATGACATCATTGATCTAGCTTAGGAATAAGTAGATTCGGAAAGGAATAATGACTGGTTGCTATGACAATGTGGCTCTCAGCAGCTGCTGATTTGTTGCTTGAACGCAGGGTTTTACGTGCAAGATCCAGGCTGTGCGTGATAAGCTGTGGATCTTCCTGGTTCAGTCTTTCTACGCTGTTCGTCATACAGAAAGCTGGAAGCTGATGAGCACAGATGATCAACAGAAAATCCAAGCAGGTATATTAGCCCTGAGATTTTTTATTCTTATAACCTTTGTGGCAAGGGATATTTTGAGGGGATTCTAATAAGTGATAGGATTATTTGTTTGTTTCTGTTCATTAATGGCTTGCTGATTAAAACTAGTGATAGTATGTTTAGGCAGTTTTAATAAATCATACTCTTATGCTATTCTTAGAAAATGAAACTCATTTCATATATATATGTGTATGTTAATATATAAATTTTTTATCTTACTTTATATTAACAACAATGTTCCAGCCAAATTTGCTTAAAAGCATTCTTGTTTTACTTAAAAAGACTGATTAGAAGTGTAGGGAAATGTAATCCATGTAGAACAGATTACCAAACATCATACTTTCTCTTTTAAAATATTTTTTCATAAGCTTTTCCATCTTTTGCATAAGATACCCTTTCCTGTGGTTTTTGCCTAGATTAGATGGGTTAATTTCACAATTGATTGGTTCAGTGATATGGTGTGTGCTATTGCGGAGTGTCCCTCGGGAGCCACACAGCGGTCTCTGACATTTAACAGATAACATTGGAGACATTACTATTAAACAAAAGATGTATTTAGCTCAGAATGTGTGTTTGTTTCAAAAATATTCAAATAAAATGTTGAGGGTATGGAACTAAAAATGGCTTCATGACTATTTTTGGGTTAAAGCAGGTGCTTTAGAAAATATATTGGCAGATTCAGCAAGTGTACTTTGAGACATTTTAAGTTAAGAAAGACTAGAGACTGTATTTTATGAGACAGACATTTTTTATTATAAAACATGGAAGTCATATGTGCTATATTCTTATGGTACGTAGATATGTTAAATTCTTTAATGGTTTAATTAGAATATGATTTGCTCTGCCTTGTGCTACAGGCATAACATTGTAGCTAGATGTGATCTCAGGAACACTTTTCAAAGAAATTCCAAAAACAACAGCAAAAACAAGCAAAATCATGGAACAACAAAATTCACAAAGTCTTCAGAAATTAAGAAATGTATTCCTTGTTACTCTATCTATACTGATTTTTAAATGACAATTTAACCTTTACTTTAAAATCTGTATAATGTAAAGAAATAAGATCAACATTCCCAGAGTAGGTGTCATTCAACTCTCTTCTGATTGGCAGTTAACTTTATTTTTCTCCATTTTAGAGGATTTCATACTTAAATTGAGCCTCAAACAATGTTCTTTATCTTAATTCTTTAAAATGCTAATTAAAATTACATGTGTATATATACATAAACACATATCTAAAACAAAATATTATTGGTAATCCAACTAATTGTAAAAAAAAACAACAAAAAAAAACAACTTTTCAATCAATTACAGTGTAAAAATAATGTTTTTAAAATCTTAAGTGTGCTGAGTTATAATTATTCCTGAATTGTGGATAATTATTGTATTGGGAAACTCCAGAAAAAGGGATGATTCTAGGTTGATTTTCTTATAACATTTCTTTATTCTAGTTTGAATTACTGACCTTTGGAAGAAATTATATATAAATTTCTTCCTGTGTATTATTGTGCTAAGTCATTTGCTAACTATAAATCAGTTCTGATAATGCCATTTCTACAACTCTGCTTTGTCTTATAGCTCAGATCCTATAGAATAGAGATAGTAGAAGATGCATGTTAGGGTTACAGATAATTTAATGAATTTTTCATTAGTTGTTTTAACAAAAAGAAAATAAACTTTGGAAAGTATATGTGTTTCTTCAAAATATATTTTAGAACCCCATAAGCTTCAAAAGGCAAACATGCATTAGGTAAACTGTACTGCAGCTCTTGTACCATTATTTCTAGATGCTTTCCTGATGTCAAATTCTTATTTGAAGAACATAAACATGACTTCTCCAGTATCCCCATATAAACTTAATCAATAAAATGATTATGTGATTCTAAAAAGAACATGAGCTTGAGGATTGTTTCTTTTTTCCATTTCAATAGGATCTTTTTTCTTTCCTCCTTCCTCATGATATACTTGTAAAACCAGAAAATATTTGTAATTAATTTCAATATTATTTTTACAATTTTTAGGATAAACATTTCTCATATTTAATATTCCATAAAATATCACATTTGCCACAATCTATAGTTTTTTAAAATTTGAAGTACTAAATGAAACCAGTTATTTAAAAAATTTTGCAACTTAAAAAATTTGTTTTTTATAAAATGTATGAATCTTCTCTGTGCAATTTTGTATTTCTTATTTATTAATTTTAATAACAAATTTCATAAGGAACAAAAAAATAAGTGATTTAAAATCAAAATGTGATTTTAAAAATTTAGTATAATAGGGAATTCTCTGTGTGTACTAGGTGGGTTTCAGCTATTTTAAAATTATTTCCTATCAAGACAAACCCTTTTTCTGCTAGTATACTATTTTACCTCTACTTTTATGTTAATAATGGTGCCTCCTATAAAAATAAATTCATGTTTCTTTTTACAGCTGCATTTGACAAAGGTGATGATCGAAGACTTGGTAAAAAGCCTATATTCAGTAGCTCTCAGGTAAACTTTAAAAATTTTGTAGGATGAGAAACGATACCAAATAATTTAAATTTTATTATTTTATTTCAAAATAATTTTTAAAAATCTATTCTTCAATTAAAGCTATTCCTTAATTGAAATAATTTTGGGTCTTTTTTTAATCTAGTGAACATTTCATAAATTTTTTAATGATTTGAATTTTTATATTCAGCTGGCATAGAAAGTGTAATATTGTCTACCTTTTTTATTTCCTTGAAAACTTTTTTGGCAGCTAGCATATTGGAGCTATTCCAGTATATCAGAAATTGTCTAGAATTCTAGACCTAATTCATGTCTGTTTTTCTAATTAACCTATTTCTTAACAAAAGGAAATTTTGGTTGTCCCAGTTTTCTCTCTACTAAGATTTTAATTCATGTAATATTTGGTGAGAAAAAGGCAGCTAGTACCAAAAAGTTGCTTAGAATATTCTAAAAATTACTTAGTATACTTATATGAGGTATCTAAAGTAGTCAAAACCTTAGGAATAGGAAGTAGAATGGTGGTTGGTGGGGCCTGGGAGGACATAGAGTTTCAGTTTTGTAGATGAAAAAGTTCTGTGGATCTTAGTCACAACAAGAAGCATATACCCTGTTTTCCCGAAAATAAGACAGTGTCTTATATTAGTTTTTTCTCCCAAAGTTGTTCTAGGTCTTATTTTCAGGGGATGTCTTATCTTCCATACGCTAGGTCTTATTTTCGGAGGATGTCTTATTTTCGGGGAAACACGGTAGTTATGATTGTATTGCCCACTTAAAATGGGTAATATAGTAAATTTTATGTTGTTTGTTTTTTACCACACACATAAATTTCTTGGTATATTCCTTATAACATGAAATACTTTTTTCTTCTCCAAAAATGTTATTAGCAATGGTTAGAGGTCCAAGCTAGCGAACTTACAGATGGTTACTCAATAATATATTTGAAGTACGAAATTATACTAACCTAGTATTGTGCATTTTACAGTGACAGGGAGACATACATTGAGATTTCCAATTTTGAATGCAAATAGCATACTGCCCTTGCAGAGTGGGATAGGGAATCTTTTCTTCCTCATCAGCCAGTAGGTAAGAACTCACACAATTCTAAGCCACAACTGAGAGCTCCCCTGGCTTGACGTAGAGGTCAAGCTCCAAATGTCTTCTGTGAAAAACTGGGACACTGGAGTGTTTTGCCAGTAAAATTCCTAGGATTATTTCCCAAAGTGTGTTCCACAGAATACCAGCTCCCTCATGTTCAACCTACCAACATGTATCATCAACTAAGTTTGAGAACTGCTGCACAGCATAGCTCCTCTTAGAGACCAATGGTGCACACTAGCACGCAAAAGCTCTGAGAAGCACTACAATAAAGAACACTATTGAATTCAGTTTTATCCAAATTATTCCCAAGTTTTATATTCATAGAACACCACTAGACTCCCCCTCATTGCTCTGTAGGCTTATTATATAGTTATACTGAACATACTCAAGGAAATGCATCTTTGGACATTTTTTTCTGTGTACCCTGTGGATTTTTTAAGGTCCTAAAAATTAGCCTATTTGCCTTCCTTTCCCCTGTCCTACTAACTGTTATCAACCAGGCTTTTCCTCCTTCCTTGCCCTACAGCAAAATCGAACAGAGTCTGATTGTTCTTCTATGTTTTCCTGATTTTCAGGTTGAACAAGGGTTTATACTCTTAACCACAAAGAAAAAAACAGATTAATATGTTTCCCTCCCAAAATGGGTACTGGATGTAAAATCAAGAGAGTTTAAATCTTGACTTCACATTTATTATCTGTGTCCTTTCTGATTCCTAGTATGCTTATCTATAAAATGGGTTGATAAAACCTAGCAAGATTATTGTGAAAATTAAGTCAAATAATTTATGTACAATTATCTGGTGTGTAGTAAGTGCTTAATAAGTATGGAATGAATAAATGTGTCTTCCACATTTATAGGCAGAGAAAAGTTTAAGAAGACTACTAGTATCAGAATACTTAAATGTAAACATATTATATCTAGGGTTGCTTCAAAATAAAACAGGGGTGTCCAACTGGCATGGCTCAGAACCAGGAGGTCACAATTCAGTTCCCATTCAACGCACATACCCTGGTTGCAGGCTGGGTCCCCAATGTGGGGCGTGCAGAAGGCAGCCAGCCAACCAGTGATTCTCTCTCATTGATGTTTCTACCTCTCTCTCTCCTTCTCCCTTCCTCTCTGAAATAGAAATATTTAATAATAATAATAATAATAATAATAATAAAACAGGGGTAGTTATAAAACAAAATTGGCCCAGAGTTGATGATTGTCTAGGTTGGGTAGTAGGTACATGGGGATTCATGATACTGTTTTCTTCTTTTGATTGTTTAAATTTTCTACATTAAAAAGCTAAAACCAGAAGGAATAGTACTAAAACCAAAAGGGATATCTAAGGAGATTGCTTTGTAGGGTTACCCTCTTCTTCCTTATTTTTGTCAATAGCACATGTAACCATTCCAAGTTGACCATTTATATATGGGTCCTATATGTAAACTTTGCAGACGTAAGTCGAGGCTGCTAGAAATGTGTATAAATTGAAACCCATCATGATGTAATGTGTTAATGTGAAATTGTTAAAGGAGTGTAGTTACCCTATATACTATATAGGTCTCCCCCATAGCATGATGCTTTAAAATAGATTAAATGATAGAATAAATTAAGGAGGATCCGTTTTAGGGGTGGGAAGAGGTCTGCCTAGTTTTAGATATTAAAAATAAAGAAGTTTGCCGAAACTGGTTTGGCTCAGTGGATAGAGTGTCGGCCTGTGGACTGAAAGGTCCCAGGTTCGATTCCAGTCAAGGGCATGTACCTTGGTTGTGGGCACATCCACAGTAGGGGGTGTGCAAGAGGCAGCTGATCGATGATTCTCTCTCGTCGATGTTTCTAACTCTCTATCCCGCTCTTCTCTCTGTTAAAATAAAATATATTTTTAATAAATAAATAAATAAATAAATAAATAAAAATAAAGAAGTCTCTTAAAAGATAGTGAGTCCTGGTTGGTCAACTCAGTTGGTTAGAGTGTCATCTTGATATGCCAAAGTTGCAGATTTGATCCCAGGCACATACACGAATCAACCAGTGAATGCAAAAATAAGTAGAACAACAAATCGATGTGGTGTTTTCTCTCCCCCCCACCTTCCTCTCTCTCTATCTCAAACCAATTTAAAAAAAAAAAAATATTTTTGAGCTAAGATTTGATCAAGAAAACAAAAAGTGAGAGCTAAGCCTATTTGAACTTTATAAATATTATACACTACTCTGAATTGGACCAGTCTCCACCCTCTCAGCATGCATAGTTTGAGGCCTAGAGATGTTAATGATTTCTTAAATATCCTAAGTCAGAGGCAAAGATAGGACAAGAACTAATGATTCTCTTATATCTTGCTTTTCCCTAAACTTAGCCAGGTTATTATTTATTTATTAGAGGCCTGATGCATGGATTCATGCACGGGACCTCAGCCTGGCCTGCCTCCTCTTGCAATTCAGGACCCCTCTGGGGATGTCCAACTGTTAGTTTAAGACTGATCCCCAGGCCTAATCTGGCAATCGGACATCCCCCAGGGATGTAGCAGTGCACCAAGCGGCAACGGCCAGGGGAGAGTCCAAGCTGGGGCCAAGCACCACGCCGCTGGCACTTATCCCAGCCTGCTGTGCCTGCCGCCACCGCTCAGTAGTGCTGCCACGGGGTCAGGAGAAGCTCCTGATGCTGTGGCAGGTGCGCTTGCCAGCCGTGAGCCTAGCTTCTGGCTGAGCAGCGCTTCCTCTGTAGGAACACACTGACCAACAGGGGGCAGTTCCTGCATTGAGCGTCTGCCCCCTGGTGGTCAGTGCACATCATAGCAACTGGCTGACCAGTAGTTCTGGTCGTTCCGATTGTTCAGTCTTAATGGTCACTTAGGCTTTTATATATATATGGATGTGTAAACATAGATGTTAATTATAACTTAGACAAAATTTTAATGTAATTGGGAGCTTTCTGCATTTAGAAATAATTAAACTTCGAACTTTACAATACATGCTCAGGTTTAACAAAATTCACCATATTTTTTGTATATTTAGTATGTGATGGACACAGTGCTAAGGGACACAAAGATGAAGATAACACAAGCTCTACCTCACACCTCTACAATCTCAAACAGCTTTCCAAAGCAGGGGAAAAGCATTCAAAATTTTTAAAAAGGCAAAATAAAATTTTCTACCAATTTAAAAATTTTTTCACTTCCTCCCATATCAAGGTTGGCTCTAAACAAAATGATGAAATAGGTACATTTGTCTTCAATTCCTTTCTATTCTCCCCTTTTCCCTATTTTACCTATTCTTAGGATCCTTTTTTCTCCACTTTCTTCATGTAACCAAAACTGTATTACTATCTTTTTTCTGTATTACTACCTTGTTCCCTTTTTGTTGTTATTAATCCTCATCTGATGATATTTTTTTGCATTGATTTTTTTTTGAGAGTAAAGAGTGGTGGGATAGAATAAATGTGAGAGAAATACATCGATTGTTTGCCTACTGCTTGCGCCATGACCAGTGCCAAGGATCAAACCTGTAACCGAGGTACATGCTCTTGACTAGGAACCAAACCCACAACCCTTTTGTGTTTGTTCTGATGTTCTAATCATTGAACCATGCCGGCCAGGGCAGTATCTTGTTTCTTTTAAAAACAAAACTTTTCAGATGTGATGTGTTATGTTTTTCATGAGTGCTTTTTTCTTTTTCTTTCTTTCTTTTTTTTTTTCTTTCTTTCTTTTTTTTTTTTATATGAGGACTCCAAGAAGTAAACAATTATTACCACAGTGGATAAAATTTTTGGCATTTGGCCTTTCTGGAGTGCTCAGTGGTTAGAGCATTGGCCCTCACACTAAAGCATCTTGAGTTTGATCCCCCATCAAGGGCATGTACCTGGGTTTCAGGTTTGATCCTTGGCCCTGATCATGGTGCAAGCAGTAGGCAAACAATCGCTGTGTCTCCCCACTCTGGTTATGGCACGTGCAGGAAGTAGCCAATCAATGTGTCTCTTTCACATCTCTCTCTCCTTTCTCTCTCTCTCTCTCTCTCTCCTCTCTCCTCTCTCCTCTCTCCTCTCTCCTCTCTCCTCTCTGCCTTCTCCTCACTTTCCACCTTCTCTAAAAAAATCAATGGAAAAATATTCTTAAATGAAGATTAACAAAATAATGATTAAAAACATTTTTTGGTATTTTTTTTTATGAAAAGCTTGATAATATCTCTCAAATTATACCATATAAATGACCACCTACTTAAAGTAGTAAATATGAAGTCAAGTCTTGGTTCCATTCCTTATCAGCATATGATCATGGGTAAATCGCATACTTGCTTTAATCCCTGGTGTCTTGCTTAAGAAATAGAGATAGCAACAGGAGCCATCCCATAGTATTATTTTAAGATTAGGTGAGATGATGAATGAAAAGGGTTTTAGCACAGAACCTGAGAGTGGATCTTCAAAGATATTAGAGGTTGTTGTTATTCTCTCAAGCCATCCTGACACTGTCAGGTACTAATTCTCTATCATAACTTTATAAAGTTAAGTAATATGCCTTTTAAAGAAGTATAGGCTTTAAATATTTTGTGCTGTATTTTAGATTTGATTAAGGTAATGTGATAAAAAAAAAAAATTGAAAGTATTGCTCAAAGTGACCGAAGATAATTCACGTTTGAATGGAATTAAATTATGAACTTTGCTGGGGATTTTTTCTTTGCAAAACTGGCTTACTTAAATGTTAAGTATATGTCAAAGACTCTAGTCAAGTTACAAGTATTTTTTTTTTCTTCTTTGTAGCAAAGGAGACAAGTTTCTGACTCTGGTGTTATAAAAAATAAATCTTTGAGAGAAAATAATAAGAAAACGTGCTGGAGGTGCCCCTCTGCTAATCAAAAGATGAAATCTGATGGATTAGGAGCATCTGGACATTCATCAAGTACTAATAGAAATACTATAAATACAACTTTGAAGCATGATAACTTAAAGGAAAAGAATGGTATAAAAATAGCACCTAAGATTACAAAAGAATTAAAATCTGGTGGGGGAAATATTTCTGGAAAGCCCAAAGCTATAATAAAACCCAGAACAGAGAACAACGATAATGCAAAGTCAGCAAACATATCACCTAGACAAGTTATGGAAAGATCAGCAATAGCAGCAACAAATGGACACAAAATTGCACTAAATGGAAAAAGAGTGAGAAATCAAGAAGGACAGATTACAGGTGCCAGACCCAAGGTACTCACTGGCAACTCAAATGGGCAAGCCAGAGCAAAGCCTTTGAAGAAAGCCTCAGGGAAAGATTCTCCATGCCTTGGCATCGCAAGACCCTCCAGCAGATCTACAAATTCAAGTGTGGAATTATTGGTTCCCATTGAATGTCTGGATGAGCCAAAAGAAAACGGATCAATAGAAGAGAAACCATCTGATCATGAACTGTCCTTTTCTGAGTTTCCAGGACAGACAGAGAAAAACTTTGTAGAGAGAATCAAAACGTCCACTGTAGGTGGGTTTTAGCACACTTTTTTTAAAAAAAGCTTCTGACAGTTAAAGTTCCTAGGAAAAAAACTTGTTTTATTTAGTTTCACATGCAAAAAAGTATTTATTTACATGTATTCATACAAACAGAGAAAACCCAGTTCTTCACTCATCGATATTTAATTTTGTTTACTGCCTGACCAGTGACTTTTTACATAATTGTTACATGGTTAGTGTTCCATCTCATGATTCACTTTTCCTTAATTTACAGCAGTAAAATCTCGACCTTTTTCGAAAGTTACCAATGGAACTTCCAATAAAAAAAGTATTCACGAACAAGAAACTAATATAAATAATAGGTAAGTCTTCATTCATTATTTTACCTATCCATTAGTTTTCTCTGCAAGTTACTAACATCTAGCTAAATATTTTAATTATCTTTTTTGTTAGAAAATGTAACATATGCCGAAACCGGTTTGGCTCAGTGGTAGAGCATCGGTCTGTGGACTGAAAGGTCCCAGGTTCGATTCCAGTCAAGGGCATGTACATTGGTTGCGGGCACATCCCTGGTAGGGGGTGTGCAAGAGGCAGCTGGTCGATGTTTCTCTCTCATCGCCGTTTCTAGCTCTCTATCCCTCTCTCCTCCTCTCTGTAAAAAATCAATAAAATATATTTTAAAAAATGTATCATATTTACACAATGGTATTTTAAACTTTTCTTATTTACTAAAAGAAGTTAGTATAGTTATGTAAAATGATGATTGGTGCAAGTAATTTACACTTGTCCCACTTGATTATGCATTGCTTTATCATACTTGATCTACAGTTTTATAAATTTAAAGACATATATATGTGTGCTTTTTAAATATATATATATTTTTTAATATATATTTTATTTATTTTTTTTTACAGAGAGGAAGGGAGAGAGAGAGCTAGAAACGTCGATGAGAGAGAAACATCGACCAGCTGCCTCTTGCACACCCCCTACCGGGGATGTGCCCGCAACCAATGTACATGCCCTTGACCGGAATCAAACCTGGGACCTTTCAGTCCACAGACCAACGCTCTACCGCTGAGCCAAACCAGTTTCGGCTGCTTTTTATTTTCAGAAAAGATATATTTTTTATCTCTGTGAGAAAAAATGTATTTTATGTATGAGCCTTTTAAAGCTTATGTTTTGGAATATACTCAATAAAAATCATTTTTCTTAGTGTGCTAAAGAAGGTCGCTAGCAAAGGATATAGTGATCAAGTACCTCAGGCAATTTTAAAGAAAAGAGGAAATGACAATGGATGTGCTGCAGCTCAACAGAGGACAAGGAACGCCCCATCTAATCTTACTAAAACTCAAGGTAAAGCTAACGAGGTCTTGGTGTTCCTTCCTTGTGTAAGTGGAAAAGGCTGAACTCCGATTTGGAACTTGAGAGCAATCTCTATACATATTGGAGGTCCAGTGCACGAAAATTCGTGCAAGAGTAGGCCTTCTTCTCCCAGCTGCTGGCACCAGCTCCCCTCCAGCTTCCCTCTGGCACCCGGGACCCAGGCTTCCCTCTGGCCCCCAGCAGGCATCCGGGACCCAGGCTCCCCTCACAGCCCCAGCTTCATCCAGAAGGACGTCCGGTCTAATTAGTATATTACGCTTTTATTATTATAGATAAGCCTAAGTGACCATCTGACTGTTCAGCCATCCAACCGATAGCCATGACACTCAGTGACCACCAGGGGCAGACGCTCTGACCAGTAGCTATGATGCGCACTGATCACCAGGGGCAGACACACCCAGGGAGCTGCCGAGCTTTGGTGATTTGGCAGCTGCAGTTCTCAGGTGACACACCCGGAACCAGAGAGAAGGAAGCTCAATTCTGGGATGTGTCACCTCAGAACCGCCCTCTTGCAATCCGGGACCCCTCAGGGGATATCAGAAAGCTGATTTTGGCCCAATCCCCACATGCCAGGTTGAGGGACCCAACCTGCTGGAGAGACCCCACTCACTCTGCAGACACCCTTACAGCCCTGGCCCAGCCCCAAGTGCAGCCAGCCAGGGAGGGACCTCTGGAGGTTGGCTCCAGGGCGTGTACATCCTGTCTGGCCCATGCACAAATCCGTGCACTTGCCTCCAGTTATAAATAAGCTGTAACATGATTTCACTCATTTTACATTCGTTTCATGCTATAGAAATGAAATCTTATACTTTAGTTTTCAGACGACTATTTTGGTATTCTGGGGTGTTGGTTTGGTTTTTACTGTTATTTTGTGAGAGAAATAATTATGGGAGTCACTGCTTTATCTGCATTTCTAGTTATTTTATATGTTATATCCATGTTTCTACAAAGTTTGATAACTAGGAATTCCATCTGCAAAACCAATAATTAAGAGTTCTTTAAAAAGTAATGGCACTGTATAGAGAGCTGAAATTCATCGGAGGAAGAATTTTTCCTCTGGAATCTTTGTTGTGCCTGTTGTTTATCCAAGTTCTAAGAAAGAAAGGCCTGCTAATCAAAATGCATAATTTGCTAATGTAATAACTGATTTAAAAATTAATATGCATTAGGAGCAGTTTGTAAAATCCTAAAAATAACTTTGAGTTAAATAATGGATTAATACCGAAAGTAAATAAAAAATAAGGCAGAGAAAAATTATCCAGGTTTTGAAATATTTGGTAATTCTGTTTGCTAGTGATCTCTAGGACTTTAACCAATATAAACAAATAGACGCCCTAAATAAATCCTCTTACCCTCCATTACCAGTTTTAGTTTCAACTGCATATCTAAGTTGCTAACCCTAATATGCTACAATAATAATTACCTTGTTATGAGAAATAAATTAGTTTTGTTCATGTTTGGGGGGGAAATGCAGCAATTTTAACATTTATATTTAACTCGGTTCTCCTTTTCAGCTGTGGAATACAGTCATTTTCCCCTAAAAGATCATAAAAGAAGTCCTGTGCTATTCTTTTGATATAAGAAAATTAGAATTTTCCACCCCCATTATTTATGCAAATCCAATTCTGGAATAAGTTCAAGGCTCTTTACTTGAGGAAGAATGATCCTATTTTAATAATTTTACTAAGATTCTGGAATAGTTCTATATTTACAATAGAAAAATATTCTTTTATTTGATTATGTTACTAATTCCTAATCTGTAGTTGTTTATTTGATTATAGGTATGTTACCATTCATTGTTTTATTTCTTTTAAAGTAACTGAAAACCAAATATTGAACTTTATTTACAAATTGGAAGGTATATTATATTTTTTAATTTTCTTTTTCTAGGTTCCCAAGGAGAATCACCCAATTCAGTAAAATCTTCAGTCTCTTCAAGGCAGTCTGATGGAAGTGTGGCAAAGATGAACCACAGTACAACAGATAAACAGATACCTAAGAGAAAAATAGGTGTCAAGCAAGGGCACACAACTTTGCCTAAGGTTAATGCAAAAATAGTGGCAGTACCTAAAAACCTAACTAAGAAAGGTGAAACTTTGAATAATAAAGATTCAAAACAGAAAATGTTTCCTGGGCAGGTCATATTGAAGAGTCAGCCTTCTTCTCAAAAACCTTTAAAAAGTGAAATATCAGTTGTCCACAAAAGTAATAATAATGGCGGTGTTACTGAGCAGAAGCCTCACAAGCCTCTGACTAACCTCACAGCCGAAATCAGTGGTGCAGAAGCATTACCCGCACCTGACCCACAAAAGCCATTAAACAATCAAGAGAGAGAGAAGTTGTTATTGAAATGCCAAAATATTTCAAATCTGGATGAAGCAATAAAACATGAATTGGAATCAAGAAAGAATGGTTCAGATAAAAGTGAAACACAGTTTTCCAATCACAAAGAAACAGATCATTGCAGCACATCTAAACTACATGGTCATTCTGATGGAAGTGATTGTGTGGATCCAGAATGTTATAGCACCATTGCCATAAAATCCATGGTTTTAAACCCAAAGGAAAGCCTCTTGAACTCTAATCTAGTTTGTGATTTAGACTCAACAAACGCTCAGCAAATGCATTCAGTGTTAGGTAAGGAGGAGCCTGTAAGGAGAAAAGATCCTAACAAAAACTTAAGCATCAAATATGTGAAAGAAGCTTCACCTTGTGTTCCTGAAAGGACAAATGGTACCTCACACACTATTCAAGATGACATAAAATCTAATTTTCATGAAGGACAGACAATTCCTAGTCAGTTATCTGATGGCGCTGCTATGAATGAAGATAAATATGCTACAGCAGACTCCTCCCAGTGTTTTTTGGGACAAATATCAGGGAAAATTTCTCCTAAAGATATGGAAACAATAGATACTCCAGAGAGCCATGAAAATCCAGAAGCTCCATTTGCAAGTCACTGGAATGTGAGTACCGGTGTTCTGCATCAGAGAGAAAGTCCTGAGTCTGACACTGGCAGTGCTACCACGTCCTCTGACGACATAAAGCCCAGGTCTGAAGACTATGATGCTGGCGGGTCTCAGGACGATGATGGCTCAAATGACAGAGGTATTTCTAAATGTGGCACTATGCTGTGCCATGATTTCCTTGGAAGAAGTAGCAGTGACACCAGTACTCCTGAAGAATTAAAAATATATGATAGTAACTTAAGAATTGAAGTAAAAATGAAAAAGCAAAGTAGTAACGATCTTTTCCAAGTGAATTCGACAAGTGATGATGAGATTCCTAGGAAAAGGCCAGAAATTTGGTCTCGATCTACAACAGTCCACCCTAGGGAAAGAGAAAACATTCCAAGAGGCAGTGTCCACTTTGCTCAGGAAGTAGACCAGGTTTCCTCCTCAGCAGATGAAACAGAAGATGAGAGATCTGAAGCTGAAAACATGGTAGAAAATTTCTCTGTATCTAACTCAGCTCCTCAGCATTTTCAGGGGATCATTAACTTAGCTTTTGAAGATGCAACTGAAAATGAAAGTCACGCATTTTCTGCAACTAAAATTTTTAAAAGGTCAGTTTTACTTTCGGTGGATGAATGTGAAGAGTTGGGGTCTGATGAAGGGGAAGTCCATACTCCCCTTCAGCCTTCCATAGATTCTCTTTCACCTTCTGATGTGTTCAGTGGCATTTCTCGTGAACATCCCAGAAGGACCTGCTCTTCCAGAGACTCACAGGGAAGTGAAGGCAGTTTTTTAGAACATAAGCAAGATAAAGGCAATAATGTATGTGAAAACGAAAGCTTTCTCTTGGGCTTGAGTGGCATTGACTCTTCAAGAAGAGATAAACAGAATGCTTCAGCCACAGGAAAAATGTATACAATCAATGTCCTGTCCAAGGGAGACAAACAACTTCTTCCAGAAAATAAACAAGTAAACAATGGAAGCAACATAGATAATGACATTCAGCAACGCAGCAAACTCTCAGATAGTGATACAAAATCTCACGAGAGACCCTGTCATTTGGAGCTCCATCAAAGAGAACCCAGTTCTGACATACCAAAGAACAGCTCTACAAAATTTCCGGACTCCTATCGGAGTCAGCTTCTGCCTCAGGAAAGTCAAGTGAAAGAGAGCCATTCTACAGCCACTGAAAAAGCTAATATTGCTTTATCTGCAGGTAATGTACAGAAATAGCGATGTTAAATCCATAAGAAAATTAGTTTATAGAATTTAAAAAATGTAGCCCTGAATGTTATATTTTAGTCAGATAGAATAATTACTTAAGCAACAGATTCAAATTTTAAATGAAAACTTAAATTTCTTAGTAGTATTAAAATGAGCTAGTTACTCTTTATTGCTCACTTAAAATCCTAGTGCAGAATCAATATCTAGTAAAAATTTTGGTGATTTCTTAGAGCTAACTTACTCTTAAGAGATTTTACATGAAAGAATAAAGAGAAAAACTTAGTTTGCTATTATTTAGTTATTTATGTCTAATTTAACAGGAATTCTTGACTATTAGAAATTTTATTATACATTGGATATAATTTATGGATTATACTAGTATATATCTAAGAGGTCTGTGCAATAACTATAGTAATATGTAACTTAATGCACTGAACTATTTTAACTACATTAATTACAATTTATATACATTTTACAGAGATCAAAACTTTAAGGATCACTATAATTCTATTATAAAATTTTCAAGTAAAAAGATAAATTTCCTAAAAGAGATTATATTTAGAAGCAATGATAATATGAAAAGGCCCAGGCTTGTTTCATATGTATAGATGATTTCCTGTCTAATTGTTTTGTGTTTGTTGTCCTTATTATAGTAATTTGAACTAATAACCCACATTTAAAATATGCAATAGTCACTGACTGAGTAGCTATTGTATATCAGAACTAAGAAAAATTACTGATCCATGGTCCCTACTGAGCAAAATCGCAAGAATGGCGAGCTCCTTAAAATTGTACTCTTTTTGTTTGTCCTTGCTTGCATTCTCCTTTGCATGTGCAATATACAAATAAGGCTTTAGACAGAATGTATTTATTCTCCATTTGGAACTGACTTAAAAGTCACCATCAAATAGCCATGTCTTTTTTCTTCTTCTTTAAGTTCTTATTGTAGTAAATTAGATATATGTGCATATTCTTGGTTTATATTTAAATAACTTCTATTGTTTTCTGTACCACAAGTTTTCAAACTAAAGTATGAGAATTATTGTTAGTTACCAATTTTTATTTTGCTGCTAAACATTATCTTTGAGTTGTGTACTTTTTTAAGATAGAAAAAAAGAATTGCCTCAAAAATCTTGTCAGTTTTGTATAAATGTAATTTTTCCCATTCTATGTTGTTGTTTTTTGACTATAACTGTTAAGTATTGTTCTACAGAACTCTGAGGGTACCAGCATGTGCAATTTTTACATTGTGTAGTATTATGAATTATTTCAGGAGACATAGATGATTGTGATACACTGGCACAAAACTACATGTATGACCATCGGCCTTCAAAAAACCTCTCTCCAATATATGAGATGGATGTAGTAGAAGCATTTGAGCAGAAAATGGAATCAGAAACACACATTACAGACATGGATTCTGAAGATGATCAACACTTTGCAAAACAAGATTGGACACTATTAAAGCAACTGCTCTCTGAACAGTATTCAAACTTAAATATTACAGATTCTGTTCCTGAAGATTTAAATTTAGCACAGTATCTAATCAATCAGACACTACTTTTAGCACGAGACAGCTCAAAACCTCAGGGTCAAGCACATGTTGACACTTTGAACAGATGGAGTGAACTAACCTCTCCACTTGATTCCTCAGCAAGCATCACCATGGCTAGTTTTTCCTCTGACGATTGTTCACCCCAAGGGGAATGGACAATTCTGGAATTGGAAACTCAGCATTAAGAGTACTAATAGTTTGGAAAATTTTGAACTATTCCACCCCTTTATTTTTTGATGTTTATATTGTATCCAAATAATTACATTAGCCAGAGATACACTACCCTTAATATTGAGGGAGTCTTTCCAATTTATTGAAGTAAGCATAGTTTGTTTATTAATATTATATCACTCATAGAAAACAAGTTTTTCTAAAATTTTGAGCATGTTTTATTAGAAAAATTAGAAGACTATAAGGAAGCCCTTCAGTTTTTCTTTCTTAAGTGGTCATTTGTTCACTTACCATTCAAGGATTTAAAATGTGAATGCACAAGTAGATTTGTTCCTTTACTTTTTGCTCTGCATATGGTAACATAGTAATTTAACAATAAAAAACGTATTGTGCTTGTGTCATTTATGTAGAATTAATCTGTAACGTTCAAACTTGGGTTGGTGGGTTGGTGTGGTTGAGGCTGACAGTTGAATATTAAAAAAAACAACATTGATGGTATTTTTCTAAGTGAAATAAGTCAGACAGAAAGAGACAAATACCATATGATTTCATTTATGTATGGAATCTAAAGAACAAAATATATGAACAAACGAAACAGACGCAGACTCATAGATGCAGAGAACAAACTGATGGTTGTCAGAGGGAACATGGGTTGGGGGCTGGATGAAAAGGTGAAGGGATTAAGAAGTACAAATTGGTAGTTACAAAATTGGATGTAAATTATAGCCTAGGGAATATAGTCAATGACATTGAAATAATTATATATGGTGCCTTGAAGTTTTAGGGGGTTCACTTTGTAAAGTATATGATTGTCTAACCACTATGTTGTAGCTGACATAAAATAAATGTCTAACTGCAATTGAAAAAATAAAATTAAAAAAAAAATTTAAAAGGAGAAAAAATTTCACTTCCCAATAATTCAGGTCTAGAAAATGATGAATTTCAAGTTTCAATGCCATGTTATTAAAACAGAGAAATGGAATCCCCTGTAACTCTAAATTTTGGGGACATATCCAGAGAGATACATCTGCCCTTGTTCACAAGAAGTGGGAAAACTCTCCATCTGTTTTACCAAGACAGACTCCCTTTATAATTAGGTAATTTCTCCCGTTTTCCTTCTATATTAGAGATGTTTTGGAACTGCACCTGCAGTAAATGCCTGCTCTAAATATTAATTTGAAAATGGGTACATGAAACAGTTGAGTTAGAGTTAAACTGTGTGTGCGTGCATATGTATGCTTGCTTATTCCATATGTCTATATACTCTACTTTGAAAAGCTGATCAAATTGTCTTTCAGTCTGCCATCTTGCGACAAAGGCAAACATAAAAATCTTTTCTACAAAGTGATTCTGGGGAGTGAACACTTGGATGCCTACTTGATATTGGTGGGCATTGCACTTCTGATGATGAGAGTTAGTAGAATTAGCCTTTCTGAAAAGCTTTGTAACTAATAATTTATCTAAAACATGTCAGAAGTAAGGAAACATTTTAGTTTAGCATTTCTTTTCTAAATGAACAAAGTTTCAAGTGATCAACAATAGAATCTGTATATTGAGTATAAAAAATCATAGGAATGCACACCAGTTGTTATTCTTATATAATACAATTAGCTACTAACCTGTTATACCATAAATTTGCTCTGCCTTTTTTCTTTTTTAACAAGAAGCAGAGTAGAAGACTCATTCATTCAAAAAGTCAAACAGGCATTGGTTTAAGGCACTGAGTTGCAAAGATGAATAAGGTTTGATTCCTGCCCCCTCCCATTCAGAGAATTTAGTTTCTACTGAAGGTAAAATCCATATATATATTTAAAAAAAAAAAAAAAAAAAAAAAAAAAGGTTAAGCCCTGGCCTCGGTAGCTCAGTTGGTTGAGCATTGTCATTTGCACTGAAAAGTCACCAGTTTGATTCCCAGTCAGGGCACATGCTCAGGTTACAGATTTGGACCCTCAATTCATTCTTTCTCTCTCTCCCTCTCTCCCTCTTTCCCTCTCTTCCTCTCTCCCTCTCCCTTCTCCCCTCTCCCCTCTTCTTTTTTTTCTCTCCTTTCCTCTCTCTAATAAGTCAAAACATTTTTTTAAAAGAAAAAGGTTAAAATACAGTACTATAAGAACTTTGTATTGTAGAGCTGGATGGAAATTTAGACGTTAGTCTAATCCCTTCAAATTCCAAAGGAGGACTCTGAGCCCAGAGGAATGAAAAGAGTGCCCATGGTCCCACAGCTAATTTGTGGGCTGGAATACAATTCAGTATTCCTTATTTCAGTTTGATAGCATTTCTACAACATAACACACTTCATTTGATTTTTATCATAAAACCTGAAAACACATTTATAGATAGCTTGTAGTATAAAGAAATACCAGGTATATGATTGTCAAAAACAGTACAAATACCCACAGCATTGTGTTTTCTTTTTCTCCAAATGTGAAATTACTTTATTTTTATTTATTTATTTTAAATATATTTTATTTATTTATTTACTTATTTTTTTTTTTTTTTTTTTTACAGAGAGGAAGAGAGAGGGATAGAGAGTTAGAAACATCTATGAGAGAGAGTCATCGATCAGTTGCCTCTTGCACACCCCCTGCTGGGGATGTGCCTGCAGCCAAGGTACATGCCCTTGACCAGAATCAAACCCGGGACCATTCAGTCCGCAGGCCAACGCTCTATCCACTGAGCCAAACCGGTTTCGGCTGCTTTGTTATTTTTAAATAAAACTACTTCAGAAGTTCAGTAATTTATCACTGAAACTTCATCTCCTTCCCAGTGTTAAGGTCTTGAAAACTTTATTCTTAAACTGCTAGACATTAAAAAGCTATTCAATTTCATCTCACATCTCTAAATAGGTAATAGGGAAGAATTTTGCTTAAGTAGTGATCCCTTAGGTAATTTCAGGATATGTGTGTTTTCTTACCATGCTCTTTTGTAAATGACACATCTACCAGTCTGTTTGCTGTGGGACTCTGGACTACTTATTCTTCATTCAACAAACACATATTGAAAAATAATTGCTAATATTTATTTAGCATTTATATGTTAGACACTGTGCTAAGTGCTTCAAATATGCATAACATTTATTAAGATATGTCTAATCTTTATTTTACACATGAGAGAATTTGCAGTGTCCCTACCCTGGATGAGCTACCCTAGTGAAAGAAACTAAAAGAGAATACACTATCTTATTGTTGGTAAGATAACAATTGTATATGAACAGAGTTGTGGGAGCCCAGAGAGGAGCTATGAACAGCTTGTCAGGAAGAGATTACAGAAAACTGCTTAGAGCAAGAATATTCAGTGACTGCTTCAGAATGGGCTTAGTGGCTGCAATCTATTTGGAAGTGTAGGCCAAGCACTTTTTTAAAATTTCTTTATTGATTAAGGTATTACATATGTGTATTTATCTCCCCTTTACCCCCCCTCTCCATTACCCCCACTCATGCCCTCACCCCCCTGGTGTCTGTGTCCATTGGTTAGGTTTATATGCATGCATACAAGTCCTTGGGTTGATCCCCCTCTTCCCCCCACTTACCCCCATTCTCCCCTACCTTCCCTCTGAAGTTTGATGGTCTGATCGATGCTTCTCTATCTCTGGATCTGTTTTTCATCAGTTTATGTTGTTCCTTATATTCCATAAATAAGTGAGATCATGTGATATTTTTCTTTCTCTTACTGGCTTATTTCACTTAGCATAGTGCTCTCCAGTTCCATCCATGCTGTTTTGAATGTTAAAATATCCTTTTTTACCACAGCGTAGTATTTCATTGTGTAGATGTACTACAGTTTTTTAATCCACTCATCTGCTCATGGACACTTAGGCTGTTGCCAAATATTAGCTATTGTGAACTATGCTGCTATATATCCTTTCTAATTGGTGTTTCTAGTTTCTTGGGATAAATTCCTAGAAGTGGGATCACAGGTCAAATGGGAGTTCCACTTTTAGTTTTTTGAGGAAACTCTATACTGTTCTCCACAGTGGCTGCACCTGTCTCAAGCTCTTTTCTTGAAGATGCACTTTCATAGAGAGTACTTCGCTTTTACTTAGGTTATATATTACATGTCAATAAAAATAGAAATGTTTTTAAAAAGATGGTTTTATACTAGTTTACCTGAGATTGTAAAAACTAACTCATACCAAAAGTAATCTTATTAATTGTATTTTGATTTGAGTTGCTTGGGAGGATTGATGAAGATGGTGGAGAGAGTCTAATGTTTCTTTATTCTATCTTTTGGAGCAACCAGGTAATATCTGATGCTAGCTTTCAAGGATAAATAGGAATTTGCTTGGCGATAGGGCATTCTGGCCACAACTACACATTAAAAGTTTGGTAACTAGGATGTGTGTTGGATAAAGGACTAAAGAGCTGAGCTGGAGTTGGATTCTGAAAGTTATTAAATCTATGCTTACGCAGCCGAAGCCCTAGATTTGGTAGGCAATATGTATTTCTCCATTATGCATTCATTTATTTTTACTTCTCAGTGGACAATCTGTTTCCTTTTTCTTGGGAAATAACCACCTATAACTCACAATGGGTAGTCACCCAAGTTGTTTCGTAAGTAGTTAAGTAAAATAATCACAATCACGTGTGTTTTAGAAAGATAACCAACAGCTACAATGAAAATGGCATGTTTTGTAGAGGCACCCAAATCTCAAAATGCAAAATCATTTTGTCAACCTTAGAAATTGGGAATGGAAGAGGACTTGTTAATAGAGATATTAGATGGACTGATGTTATAGAATTGATAAATGATTAGATGATGGGAGAAGATGGAAATGAATTTTTAAATTGCTCTAAAAAATAACACTATCTTACACATATTTTTAAGGCCTAATATATTCCCAGACTTTGCTAGTGCTGAGGATTGAAAGATGAATGGCATAGTATCAGTCCTTGAGTATCTCAGTTGAGGGAGAGAAATTGGTAAAAAAAAAAAAAAAAAAAAATTGTCATCTTAATTGTCATAATAAAGCTCTGTATAAAGTTTAGCAGTGGATAAAGGAGAAGGAAGTGATGCA